CAAGAATCAAGATCAGGTATAGGGTGTATGTGTGTGTGTGGGGGGGGGGGGTGTGAATGCAGGTGTGTGGTGTGTGTACAGGCACTGGAGTATGAAGACAGGGCCTTGTGCGTGCTGGGCTACAGCACCAGCCCAGGATCAAACTCAGGCTTCCTAAAGTGAAGCTCTTTCTCCAAGGACTGTGACTGTGGCTAGCCACTTACCTGCCAGCACTGAGCACGGTGACAAGCAATTGTTGTGGGTTAGCATGCTTAGTCCCTGGGACAGTCTGCATGTGTAGACAGTCTCCTCATCCCCGTGTCATAGACAAGGTAGGCACAGGGAGTCTGAACACTCTGCCTGAGCTGACAGAGCCGCAACCGGGTACGCTAAATAACCTTGTAACCTAACGTGTGTGTGTGTGTGTGTGTGTGTGTGTGTGTGTTTTAGTTCCAGAGAGAGGCTCTGCGAGGTGGTCCCAACCCGGGACGCTAAATAACCTTGTAACCTAACGTGTGTATATGTGTGTGTATGTGTGTTAGCTCCAGAGAGAGGCTCTGTGAGGTGGTCCAGCATGACATTCCAGCTTGGGTCTGGGACCTGATGGTGGCTGTGACTCTCGCAGGTGTCCCAGATGATCTGGCACTAGGCTTGGAGCTGAGCCGCCGTGAGCAGCAACCTTCAGGCACCTCCAGGTTGGGGGGCACACAGGTCCGGCCGACCGCTGTTTCCCGTCCCACTGACAGCGACCTTTCTGAGGACGAGGACCTGCAGCTTGCCATGGCCTACAGCCTATCAGAGATGGAAGCAGCTGGGCAGAAGCCCGCAGGTGGGCGGGGGGCACAGCAAGGCTGGCAGGGGCAATCCAGGGCCCAGCCCCAAGACCTTGATATGGGAGGCACGCATAAGGGGGCGAGGGGCGAGGCAACCAAACCCAGCCCTTCAGAGGAGAAGGCCTCTCGATGCCTCATTCTCTGAAAACCAGGCTGAGCCTGACCTGATTCAGGTTCTGACCCAGAGTCCAGCTCACTGTGGGGCGTCCAAAATTGAGTGTGGCCTGAGTTATAGGATCCCAAACTCTGTCCCTCCTCAAGTTTCCTTCCCAGGCCCATCATCCTACAGCATGGACCAGGCATTTGTTATGCTCTGTTTGGGGCTGATAAATCCCTGGGCAAAGCCCGGGATTGGGGGTATCGGGGGCCACGAAAGGGCCTGTGGAGCCCAGAGGCACTGGCTGGATCTGGCACTGCTGAGGGGCATTAGTGGTTTGGGGTTGGGTCTTTTGTGCCCACGTCTTCTGCTGCCATCTGTGTTGTTGATGCTATCAAGGAAAGAGGCCTTGGCCTGGCGTCCCCTGGGGAGCAGCGCAGGCCGAGCGGAGCCTCTGCTGTCCTTACCCAGCTGCAGGCCTCCTGGTCTCTGCGCAGAACCGAGTCCTCACCTGTCACCGTCTCTGTTTCCCCCCTGGTGCTGCTCTCCTGCTCCACACTCCGCAACTCCCTGTGGCTGCATCGCTTGCTTTCACTGCTGCTTGGCTAGGACTCCCTCCTCCTCCTCCTCCTCCTCCTTCTCCTCCTCTCTGAAGCTTCAGTGTGCCCAAGGAAGATGCTGGGGCCAGTGGGGCCATGAGATCTTCTGGGGAGGCTAGCTAGGTGGGGTGGAAGCCTCTCAGCCCTCCAGAGTCTCCACCAGAGTCAACTCCTCTTCCCTTCTCCTTGCTGCCTCAGCCTGCCCTGGCCACAGGACTAGGCAGAGGTGAGGCTGGCTATCCTTGGAGAGGTGGGATAGGGCCAGGGTGACCCAGTGGGAGGCCTAGGTGGGGGACTACATCCCTACTACTTGTCTATCATGCATTCGAACACAGGGCTTGGCCTAGGTGTGCATGCTCGGCTCCACCCCCCCATCTGCTTGCAGCTGACTCCCCTCTCCTGTCACCCACCCCTGCTCTCTCCCCAGATGTGTTCTGAGCTGGATACCCTGGATACAGAGTTGCTGCCGTTCCACCAGGACAGCGCCCTCCCCAGTGGGCTAGGAGGGAACACTACATCCCTCTCCCCTACTTACGCTGAGTGTAGGGCTGGGGCCTGGGTGGTGGGTGGGGACTGAGTGGGAGGCACCCATAGTCTTCTTAGCCTCTGAACTCTCTCCCCTGGGTGCTTAGTGCTGTCTCTTGCGGATTACAAGTCCCAGAGTGCAATGCACCCTGGCCTCGTTTCTGATAGTTCTTATCCCAGGGGAAGTGGTGCTTGATTATAAAGCTGGGCTTCTTGGGATATGTAGTTCCAACCCTAGCTAGCCTGCCAATCTGAATGGGGAGATCTCATCTTTCATCTTGTCTCTGGAAGGGGTGGTGAGAATTGTGGAAGAAGGAGAAAAGACCAGAACCATAGTTCTGATACCTCTTGCTAGACCCAGCTTGGAGTGAGCACAGTCGAGTCCTGTAGCCTCTGGAAGGTTGTTTCCCTTGGGCAACCTGGGGTTCCAGGACTAAGTTAGTGGGACAGTGGCCTGAGCAGGTATGGCGTGGTCCTGGAAGGCTGATGGCTGTGGGCTGGCAGAGCGTGGGAGAGGAGGCTGTCTTGGCTGGAGTGTGTATGGCGAAGATTGGCATGCAGAGGAAGTGTTGGACATACCGCTTGAACGGCTTTCTTTGGCCTCTGACCTTGCTGCCCATTCTTTCTTACCATCATCCATCCCCCGTGAGCCACCTGTCCTCCTGCCTGGGGAGTCCACGGCCAGTGAGGGGATTGGTGGAACAGGCTGCGGCCAGCCCCTGTAACACCGAGCCTCTGAGGCCGGTCAAAGCCAGATGAACTGAGCTCAGACTCAGGGAAAATGGAAGCTAATAAAGCTGAAATTTGAGAGCTTGGTGCCCTGCGTGCCTCCTTTCCAAGACTGCCTAAGAGGGACCCTCTGGGACGATGAGGTGACACTTCAGACCTCATGCCTTCCCCTGTGCCGAATAGCTGGAGGGACGAGCCTCGATCGGTGGTCCTCCCCGAGTGTGGTGTGTGGTCCTCACTTCCAGGGCCCCACAACTAGCTTGACCCTGAGGTTCCCTCTGGTCAGGGGACCTAGTTCCCAGTTCTCTGCAGTACAGCAAGGCCCAGGCTGAGTTAAGACTTGATTGAAAGCATGGGAACTCACCGAGAACAGACGGTGACACCTGATTTGGGTGTGTGTGTGTGTGTTTTCAAGACAGTTTCTCCATATAGCTCAAAATCATGGGGATCCACCTGTCTTTGCTTCCCGATTGCTGGGGTTAAAGGTGTAACCACCAGTGACAACCCCTGATGGTTTTAAACAGCACCCAAGGGTCCTAGACTCAGTCCCTCCAGGGGTGTGAACCAGGAGCATGTGGAATGCCATCCTGCTCAGTGCCCAGGCCCAGGGATGAAGGAACCAGGAACCCCTCAGTGCCCAGGTCCAGGGATGAAGGAACCAGCCACAGAACCAGCACCTCTGTGCTTTTCTCCAAGGGGATATGGCCCTGCAAATTACCGGCAGCTTCATCTTCAGGGGCCAAAGGGCCTCGCCAACTTCTCGAAGCCCAAGCCCCATCCCGAGCCTCTGCTGGGGCATGCAGAATGATGCTTTGCCCACTTGGAGCCTTTGCCATGTAGGACACGGGAGCTGAGCCCCAGCAGAGCACAGACGCTGGGGTGAGGTTTTGTTTCTTAGCTCCAGCATTCAGAATTCCCTGTGTTTTTATCTGAACTCCAACATGAGCGAGTGGCCCCAGGCCCCAGGCTCATCTCAGCTCTTTTTTGTATCTGGAATTACTGTCTGAGGTTTCTTATGACATACAGGTGAGGGGTCCTGGGTTGGGGGGAGGCACAAGGTCCACCCTAAAGGTGATGGGCTGAGGGGAGGATAAGGTGAAAGAGAAAAAGTGTCCTTCCCCCCAGGGGGGCTTGCCCCACCACCACACTGGCAGAATTGGCTGTAGTAGCTATCCCCTGAGATGTGGCAGGCAGTAGGTAGATGGTCCCCACAGCCCTGTGTGACAAAATGTCATTCCTGAGGCTGAAGGCACGAGGCAGCATTCTAAGAACAGGGAGGAAAGGCTATATGAAGACCCAGCTGACCAAGGTTTGAATCCCGACTCCACCATGTCAAGTTTTATAGCTTGGGCTAGCCACACTGTACTCTGTATAGGAGGTGCCATTGTTCATGGTTATGTGAAGATAAAACTAATACATACAAATACATACATGGTACCTTGGAACCCGCTAGCCGCCTAGAAGTCGTGTTATCAGGCGCTTCTCAAACCAAGGACAGTCATGGCGCCTCTGCAGCCGGTGTCACCTGTGGCCCTCCACTTTCGGTGTCTCCAGGGAGACAGCTCAGAGAGACACTACAGCTGGAGCCTGGGAGCTCAGCAGACAGAACTGCAAAGGGGTCCACGTTGCAGCCGCACAGACAACACACTAACTTTATTTACGTCGATACAAAAGTAGATTTTTCTAGAAATGTTCTCTTGTGCTAGAGGGAGAAGGCTGAGCAGGGTCAAGGTGGCAAGCCAGTGGTAGCAGGGCTGGGGGCGCTGGGGCTTTCTCATCCTGCTCTGTCTATACACTGCAGGCTGGTGGGAGTGGGGGACATCCAGACATGGGGAGGCGGAGACAGAGACTCAGGTAGGATGGGGCTCGGGCACACTTGCTGATGTCCACTCCTCCCCTGCCTGCTGTCTGTCTCCCACGGACTGCCTTGGTTCTAGCTTGTAAGAAGCCGGGTAGATCCGCCCCTTTGCGCCCCACTTCTTTCCACGCTGGGCTGGGAGGGGCTACCGTGCCCAAGATGGGTCAAGATGGCAGGTGGGTGGAGACTGAAGAGTTGGTGCACGAATGCTCACACAGGCAGGAGGAGCAGAGGCCAGGATGCCCACTGAGGTGCCCGGGGGGGGCTCACTGGGGCAGGGCCTTAAGGATGGCATTCACCTCCTCAGCCACGGCTGTCAGCGCAAACTCAAACTGATCCTGTGCAAGGCCAGTGGCAGAAGGGTCAGGAGAAACCTCGCCTCTGAGTCTGCCCGAGGGGACATGGCAGGGGTGGAGGGTGCTGGGAATTTGGAAGGGAGGAGGCTTCTTGGGGGAGGCAGGAGGAGCAGACTGTTATTGGTGTCTTCATGGTGGCCATGAAGAGAGTGCTTGGGAAGGGAAGCGACTAGGGAAAGACAGGGAGGTACCGTCACCTTAGAGCGGACAAGGCCAGGCCTCTGGTCACGGACATGCTCCAAGGTGGCGGCAATGTCGATCTCCTTCACTCCTGGGGACAGGGTGGAGTAGGGGGTGCTTAAAGGCGTGTCCAGGGGAGAACAAGTCCCATAAAGCCTGGGCATCTTTGGCAAAGCTTAGAGATGTGACCACATGCTCCCTAGTGGGGTCTCAGACCCACTGGGTACTGGGGAGCCATGAGGGACCAGGGGCTGCGGGTGCTGTGGGAACAGACCTTACCTTTTGCCATGCGATTCAGTACCATGTCAATAAGGATGTAGGTGCCTGTCCTCCCCGCGCCGTCACTGAAATAGGGGTTGGTGACAGACAGGTTTAGCTCTGACGGGGCAGGAAGGGAGCAGACATGGGGGTTGGAGCGAGAACATTGGTTGATTATTAGAGTTGGCCCGGGAAGAGCATTAGTAATCCATGGTGAGTGGCAGGCCTGTGAGCCCTGGCATGTGGACAACTGGAAAGTACAGCCATGGCTCAGTTTTTAGTGGAGGCAGCAGGATAGGATGGGAATGGCTCTTTCCAGTCTGGGGGTTAGGCATTTGTTCTCCAGCTCTCCACAGAAAGGGCCAAAGAGTAAACATTTCCAGTGCTGTGTGCTGACATTCGTGTGTGTGTGTGTGTGTGTGTGTGCGCGCACGCGCGCGCGTGGCAGGACCTGACCCACCTGCAGTGCACGATGATGGGGCAGGACCGCCCTCTGTAACACTTGTTCACCTTCCTGCAATGAGAAGTGGGGTGTGAAGATCAGAAAAGGCCAGCCAGGAGGAGGATGCGCTAATCACACGCCAGTGTGAGCTCACAGGCCGCCTTTCTCCCTCTGTGGCCTTGTGTTACACACAGAGCTGGAAGTGAGCTGGAGAAAGGGTGAGAGCTGCTGTGGGTGGCGCTGGGCTTGCTTTGTCACTCAAAAGCCATGTGCTCAAACTGCAAGCCTGGAATAAGGATTTAACTTCTCAGTTTTCAGCTATAAAATGGGAGATGAGAGATAACAATGGGAATTGTTTTTTTTTTTTAGGATTTTTTTGGGGGGGTTCAGTTTTTTAACACAGGGTTTCCCTGTGTCGCCCTGGCTGTCCTGGAACTCACTTTATAGGCCACGCTAGCTTCAAACTCAGAGATCTACCTACCTCTGCCTCCCAAGTGCTGGGATTAACGACGTGAGCCACCACTGCCTGGCTTTTTTAGGATTCTTACAAAATGCCATGGGATAGATAGCCTACATAAAGAACTTGCATACCAAGGCCCAGTCCATAAGACGTAGTGAGGTGGAGGAATGTCAACAAGTTGTTCTGGGAACATTCAGGTCAGCTCTGATCTCTCCGCAGTTACGAAAGCCATTCCCTTTCCACCCAGGTTTGTAGTCCACACTAGCCCTGAGGTCAGGTCATCAAAATGCATTCGTTCACAACAATTACTTTGTTCTAGCTGTCACATGCCAGCTGAATTTATACAGTTCTGGTGTAAACCTCAGGGACTGTTTAGCTTATCTGTATGGCCTAAAAAAAAAAAAAATCTATGCAGTGACCCCACAGTGACTCTGTTGGGGACTTCGCTAGTTTATTTTTTTGTAGATATGGGGGTCAAACCAAGGCCTCACTCATACTCTATCCCTGAACCCAAACAAAACTTGTATTATTTATAATAATAAATAATAATAAAAATTATTCAGTGATAAGGATTTTTTGTGTGCTCAGAAAGTTCTCAACCACTGAGTTACATCCCTAACGCTTTTTCTTTCTTTTATTTATGAGACAAGGTCTCCCTAAGATGCCGGGACTGGCCTTGAACTTGCAGACCTTCTTCCTCAGCCCCCTGCACAGCTGAGATTACAGGTGTGGGCCGTCTCACCTGACCTCCTGCACATCTGGGGTTACAGGTGTGTGCCATCTCACCTGACCTCCTGCACAGCTGGGGTTACAGGTGTGTGCCATCTCACCTGACCCCCTGCACAGGTGGGGTTACAGGTGTGTGCCATCTCACCTGGACTCCTGCACAGCTGGGGTTACAGGTGTGTGCCATCTCACCTGACCCCCTGAACAGCTGGGGTCTCTTTCTAAATTCCTGCCCCAGTTCTCCAAGCAGCCTTTGGCATAGTCCCTTCTCAGGCCTGTCTGCCTGTTTCTTCTGTCTAGGTGGTTGCCACCCCTGCTAATGACCAGCTTTGTGGCTGTTCGACTGAAGAATATCAGCAGATCTCTCTCTCTCTCTCTCTCTCTCTCTCTCTCTCTCTCTCTCTCTCACACACACACACACAGAGAGAGACAGAGACAGAGACAGAGAGACAGAGACAGACAGAACGGAGGGGACAGTGATGGGAAAGGAAGAAAGGAAGAGAGAGATAAAAACCAGGCAAAAAGACGGGAAGAAAGATGAGGATGAAAGCTGGATGAGAGAGGAAGGGTAAGTGAGCACAGAGCTGAGGGCCAGAAGGACAAGGCAAGAGACAGGAGGGAGGAATCAGAGCAGGAGCCGGTGGGAGAAGGGAACTAAAAATGGGGTCCTGGTCTCCAGGGAAGTCCGCAAAGGAGTCAGCTCGTGGAGAGGCTCTGGGAGAAAGTGGGTGTGAGAAGCGCACCAGGCTGGGGTGGCATGGCCAGTACTGGTTTGGGGATGAGAGGCTGGTGAAAGGGACA